GCCACCGACCACCGCACCAGCCGCCAGCGGCAGCAGCAGCAGCAGCCGTCGCAACACCATCACCAACAGACGCAACAGTATGTTCAGCTTGGGGCGAGAGAGGTCCCGGTTCCTGAGGGAGGGGATAACCGGCACCCGACAGAGGCCTCCATTGCGCCGGAGGGACGCCGCGCCGGCAGTCACATGCCTCACTCCACGATGCATCGTTACGGAACCGAGACACTCTCACCAACCACAACGGACCATCATCACCATCAACAACAGCAGTCGCATCATCATCATTTATCCGAGGTGCATCAGCATACCTCTCTATCAGCCGTCGCTCACCGTCATCTAGAAGATCCGCAGCAACATCATCAAGAAACTGACGAGGATGTGGATCGAGGGGTGAGCAGCATCACCGCGGCCATGAGAGGTGCACGGAATGATTATTTAGGTGTACTCTTCTCGAATCTCTCTTCGTCAAATACTACATCTAGTAATGGCAGCAATCATCATCATCATCATCATCATCATACGTCGCATCACCTGGAGGATGTGTTGTCCGAGGAACCTTATTTGCAACATCAAATTCGCGGTGGCGGAGGAGCTCCCCCGACTGGCGGTGCTTCTCCATCAGTGAGGACCGTCGGTGGCTCTCCGACCTCCAGCCATAGTCCGCACGATGATCAGGGTCTCTCATCGCCACATCGCCAAGCCCAGGAGACTGGTTACAGTCCCACTGATCAGGGCAGACCATTGCAATCTTTTACGCATCTTACGGCTATGCAACCACCACCGTCGGTGCAAACCAATCACGGATTGCAGGAAGCCGAGCGTGTATCCGATCAGCTGTATATTGACTCGATCTACACGCATCACGCCGCTGGTACTCCTCATCACCATCAGGACCAACACGATCAAGGTCCCTCCGCGCCGCATTCGCCCAGTGGTCCGCTCTCCAGGTTAGTAATCGTTATCGTTATCATTATCGCCGCACCACACGGACAAATGTGTTTGATGTGAACGGAATTCACTTGAGAATGTATTGAGGATCTAGTTCCCGTTATTGCCGAAGCTATATTTCTTCCCTCGTCTTTAGATAAAATTCTTGTTTTTAAGGGCGAAATTGTTTTAGTGCTGAGAATAAAATAAATCAGTGAATAAACTAGTGCTGAACGCGAAATATTTTCGACGTGTCTTTCAAAGCGGCGTTATAGAGATGTGCTATTGGCGCTTTATTGTTAGAAGATCAGTTTAAAAAATCAATCGCGATGTAATGTTAAATTACATTATTATATTTTTTTTTTTTTCCGAGATCTGCGGTTATGTCGCATAGAAAATTGTTCACTCAAAGTTCATCGTTTACCGAGAATTCATTCAGTTACCGTCTGTGAAATATAAAATGTAATACGATACATGCTTTGATACGATACGAAAGAAGAATAAAATTAAAATTATAATATTTGATTCACAGTCAGAAAAACAAAAATAATATTGGCTTCATACCGGATGTTTAAAAACTGTGATTTATTTTGATAAGGGAATAAGGGTCAGTTGAGGATTAATAAATTGAACCAGTTAGCTTATAATGTTCGGTGTGTTGTTCGGTTTGTCAACGATATAAAAATATTTATGTTAAAACATAATTTTTATCGAAAGTGCGGTACGATCAAAAGATTATCCAAGACGTATGCCCAGACTGTTGCATCCATGCAAACGTACGGTCCTTTCCTGTGCGCAAAAATATTTACTCGCAAGCTTTAAGAGCTATTCCGCTTCACGCAGGTTTGTATGCGTAGGCGATACTTAATATACAGCCCGAAACAAAGCGCAACCGTCGGAAGACTGCCTGACCCTATGCTAACAACCGTATGAAAGCGAAGATTGTCCCCACCCTCATTGCTATGTTTGTTGATTTATCTCGGGCACGAGCCTATGAATTTAGGTACTAAAGATCCTAAAGTCGTCTCTCTTCATCATGATTCTCTTTCTCTCTCGATAATATCAATTTTTCTCAGTCTTTGATTGTCTACCAGTTGTTTCAGTTTCAGCAATTAGTCTATATTTTAATATTTTTCTCTTTTTTTTTTATGATAATAATTAATACAAAGATAAAACTATAAGATGCCGGCATTTAAATAATAATAATGCCGTGAGATTAATGGTAATTGAATTAAATAACGAATGAGGGATAATTTTACTCGGATTTCGCGCGACTTTTGCTCTTAGCGCTTTTCTCTTCATATTCGATACTTGCTGACGATAAGGGTTCATTCACCGATCGAAATGATCCACGCATTGGATCGTATTGTTTGCTACCCTCTGATTCTGGGAAAGGGAACGAGACAGATTGCTCGCATTGCAAAACTCGCATCAAAGGCATCATGCGTCATATCCATGATTCTATGTTGATTCATTTGATTTGATGCGCGCATTTGTGCGCATAATAACTGTTGGATTTATCTTTATTACGTGACAATAAATGGGAATGTATAAAGGAAGTATCGCACCTTTGGCAAATAAAAATTCGCGATTCAATAAAAATTCAAAAAAAAGAAAAGAACAAATTATTTTTGAGGAAGATGTTATTAATTAATTGCAATGAACACGATTAATAATTTTCTTCGATACATCAGTTATAATACTGCCATTTTATTTTATCCATGATTTTATCCGTCAATGTAACTGGTCTTATCCCGGATCTGCATCCGATAAGATTTTATTGACTGATGAATGCAACTTACTGATAGATTCCCATTGATTGTCACTTCGCAATTCTATGAAAAAAGAGCAATCGGATAATCACGCTTACTTTTATCGTTTATGTCGAATGTAATCGAGAATAACTATAGAGAGAAAGGGAGAGAGAGAGAGAGAGAGAGAGAGAGAGAGAGGAGGGTGAGAAAAAGAGAAAAAAAAATAATTCGTATTTCTTAATTCACGCACTGTACACGTGCACGGATCGCGACCTTTTAAATTTGATAGCAAAAGTTCGAGTGCAGATCGTGATCCGTTTTTCTTTTGTTGCTTTTTTTTGGATGACGCGAGAGATTGCGCCAATGCAAAAAAATTGTTCTGTTATGCAATCATCTGATAGTTACGTAAATTTGTTTCAATTATATTCTGCACATAAAAATTATTTGTCGTTAATAGATCATCAAAAGAAGTGATAGCAGATAATACTAGTCTCTTGACTGTCATAATTATTATTGTCTAAAATATCTTATAATATATCTTATATGATACTGCACGCAGCAATCTTAAAAAATAGAGAATTAATTACATTATGATAACGAGTTCATTAGTTAATATAATAAAACATTAAAAAATAACATAATGACGGATATAGTGAGAAAATAATTAAAATTTTCTCTTTTTATCTTTTCCTCTTTCTCACACTTCAATTATATAATAATATTTTATACGTATAATTTAAGTAATTAAAAAATCTATAAACATGTAAATCGTAATCATTGATGATGATGCAAAATTTGTAAAGCTGACAGTTCATAAATATATCCACATACACTGCGAAATGACACAGAACAAAACTCTTCGTTTTGAGAACAAACTCGTATCGTTTAATTTTCTGTTATGAATTCTCTTTATTATAACATCATTCATATATATTTTTTCTAAATTTTTGAATTGTGATATCATAAAACTTAATTTTTTTAGAATGTATAATTAATAGTTTTGTAAAACAAACTATAATATAAAATTAAAAGTTTCAATAAATATTAAATATTTTACGCAATTTTATAACTACTACAATTTTTCTATTTAAAATAATTATATATATATTATATATATATTTATGTATGTATATTGTTCTGATTCGAAAGTATCACGAGGCACGTGCAATATGCAGCTGTCTACACCTAAAGACGATTTCAACATTTGTTTTTCTCCGCCACGAGCGGTAGTCTTTCGATGCGAGTTTGCCGGCGGAAGTGACACGTAGTAGATTTCGCTTTACACGTAGTATCCTGACAAGCACTAATTTGTCATTCAAAATAATTATCTTCGTCTAATCGTAATATTTATTATAAAACTCTAAATACCCAGCGCATTATTATTCAGGTATTGGCAAAAAAGAGGAAATAGTAACGATTTTTCGACGAAAAAAGTGACAAAAATAATCTTTGAAGTGTTAAAATAATAATCAAACTTTTTATAAAATTTTCAAAGTAGTTAAGGCTACTTATTAAATTAAAAAAATAACATTTATATTCTTATTTTGGTTTATCTTTGGACAGCCTAATATATAAGATAGCAATGCATTATTATTTAGATGTTCTTGAGAAAGCAAAAAGATAAACATATTCATTCAGATGATGAAAAAATAGATGAAAATTTACAAATGCAAAGCAAAACCTATTCCTGAAATGTGCAACAAGTATTTGTAGTCGTCAAAAGTTATATTTTCTTTTAGTTTCACATCTATCTGAAACTTAAAAACGACAAATTTAACGACAATTTAAGTAATGAGTACCTGTGGAATAGTACCAATAGTGAGTGAGTAGCAATTATTATCAAATATGAGAAAACAAAAATACGAATAGAGTGCTTATGTTTTATAAATTTATGTCAACTCAAGAAAAACAGATAGCTATAGTGATTCATTTTGGGTGATAATAACTAATTTTTAATAATTTTTAAAAAATGAACAAAAAAAAACTTCTATGAATTGTCCATGTAATATTTCAGTACATAATACGTTATTCAAATCGAAATTATGCAAATAGTCCGGATCTTAGTATTTCAATACTGAAATTTTGAGAGAGAGAGAGAGAGAGAGAGCGAGAGAGAGAGAGAGAGAGAGAACTGTTGGATAAAAAAAAAATGTTGCGTTTTTAGTCTATGACGGCAGTCTCTTGAGACAGGACGAAAGTAAGTATTCTCCACGAGGCGTAATCGGCGGAGAACGTGAAACAGTGGGGCGTCTTAAGTGGTCGATAACGATGGTGGGGATCTCTCGTGACAGACTCAGTCAGAGAAGGCAAAGTTGGGGTGCACTGCGAAATGTGATCGCGCCGGTGATATCTGGAGGAGGGGAAAATATGTAGAAAATAACAAGTGGGGATAATTGTCCGTCATCGCAGGAGGGTCTCTTCGAGTGGGGAAGGGATTCTTGCAGAAGGGGAAATCCTGACCACCTTCGAGGTCCTCCAACTCCATTCGGCTCGACGTTTCGTGCACTCTGTTAGATTATATTCCGCTCAGTTCTTGTCTGCCCGGTGACAGATACGGGACGCTCTCTGGCTCTCTTTTCTTTTTTCTCTGTTTTTTTTTTCTTTGCCTTCTTTACGTTGTATGACAAAACGAAAACGAACATAAGAGGAGGAAGAGGAGAAGATATCGAAGCTTATCACCCAGTTTACGCCCGCTAAGATGCAGTGAGTCTTTTTCTAACGAAAAATTTATTTTATGAATGGTGTGCTTTGGTCATTTGTTGATTCGTTTCATGATTGATATTTTTATATTTTCTGGAATGATGCTTGGTGTATGCTGTTTATTTTTTATCATAATGTGCAATTAATTATATTTTGATAAAAATTGTATATATTACGCAGAATTTAAAGATTGTATAGAAATTATGTGAATTATAAATGTGAAAGAATCGATAATAATACAAATATATTGCTATGTATTAAGAAAATAATTGCAAATAATGAATAATTACAATTATATATATATGTATTCATCATACTTGCGTAGAACCAATGCAAAAGTCAATATAAAACTTTTGTAGTTCTTCTGATAAATCGATAACGTTATGACAAAATTAATTTATTAAATTCATTAGCAATATATATATTTTTTAACCTCTTGTTAAATATATTTTTTGTTTACTTATAGTTAATCTAATTAATCTTTAATATTGTTATAACATGATATTACATTTAGAGATATATACACGTATATATCTATACGTAGAGATATACGATGTAACATTTTT